ATGAGTACTTGTGTATAGCGCATTTGTTGGATCATGATACTACATTTTGTCGCGGAACTCTATAGTTGATTACCACATGATTTCCATTGGAACAGGGGATGCAGAAAACACATTGGCTGCGAGTTTATAGACATAAAGGAAACAGCTCTTAAGGAGCTTGATTAAAATAACACCACATCTTGCAGTTTTGTACTGGTTGTTGTATAACATAATATCCTGCAATTCATTTATTTAATTGATATCAAGTCTATGATAATATTCACAGAAAATTTTATCAGTAATCGATTCGTGAGCTGGTTAGTTTGCTGTGAAGAGACATCGTGTAACAACCCCAAGGAAGACCATGTTATCTCTCTGAGTTACATTTATATATTTGATTCCTTCTGTCTTCTAGTATCCTGGTATAAATAGAGGCTTCAGAATGAGATATCCAACAACTTAAAACTTCCATCTTTCAACTCTTAAGCCTCTTAACAAAAATAAAAAAGAATATTTAAAATGGCTTCCATCCATACTCGATCTTTCAGTTTCCCCTCAAACTCTCACCCCGTTTCTGAGCAGTTGGATCAACAATTGAACAGGTTGAGATCTTCTCAAGCTGCTTCTACTTCATCCTTGACCACCAAACTTAGTGGTCTAAATGATTTATACAAGTGTGTTGAAGAGTTTCTTCAACTGCCCCAAAATCAAAAAACTGTATCTCAATCTCAACAATTGTTGGATGGATCTCTAAGACTCATTGACATTTGCTCAACATCTCAGGATGTCTTGGCAGTGTCAAAGGAACAGATCCAAAACATTCAATCAGTTCTTCGAAGAAGGTGCAGCGGTGAACTTGACATTACCAATGAAGTCGCTGAATACCTAAAAACCAGAAGAGCTTCCAAGAAGACTATCAAGAAGTGCATAAAAGATATCAATGCAGTTGAGCCCGTTGCCATTGAGAGCATGCTCAAGGATGTGCAAGCGCTGACTGCTGAAGTCTTTAACTCCTTGTTGTCTTACATCGGTGGATCACAGAAGAGTAGCTGGTCTTTCTTTAGCCAAAGATCTGAGAAGAAAGCAGCAACATCCTTTGATACTGTTGATGCTCTTCTTGTGAAGAAAGTGAATGTTGATATGTCACAACTATTAAATTTAGAGTCAGAAATTCAAGAAATTGACGAAGTTTTGGAATCCTTGTTTAGGCATTTGGTGAAGACCAGATCAACTCTTCTCAATGTCCTTAGCAACTAGAATAGAAATTTATCTCTGTACAAAAATTTTTGATACTTGAACATACTATACAAATGAATATACTACACATACAATTCTCTCTAATTTTATCTGTGTTCTTCAATTTTATTCTTAAATCATTCTTTCAATTGTACCGAAGTTACTACATCCTTGAAATACAAAGGGTAAAAAAATCTGACAGTACGAATTGCATGATTTACTAAATTTTATAAAATAACAGCAAGTAATTATCAGTTTCTGATATGAAATTACAGGAAAAAAAAAAAAAAAAAAAAAAAGTTTTTCTATTAGAAATAAATAAATTAAAAAAAAAAAACGGAATAATAAAAATACAGCAAGTAATTATCAGCTTCTGATATAAAGGTTAATTATCAGTTTATCACAATAATGAATCCATGTGAGGGTACGCTTTGAATCGACTAAAGAATGCATGGCTTATTAGCTGTTAATATTCTAGATGTCTGCTGGAGAGCTTTATAATTATTGTAGTAAGGGTGTGCATGAATGCATAAAATTGCATGGTCTCCTACAGTCAAGCACACTCCTTTATTCTAGGATCATGCACACGAGTTCTTACATTTTTAAAGGGAAGGTGAGGTTGAGATTCCTACATGTTCATCAAATTTTACTCAAATATATTTAAAAAACATGCTAATTGCTAACCATTAATTGATTTATTAGCTATCCTACTGATAAATGGTGTCATTCACACTCGTGCGTAGCTGTTGCTTAGGATCATGATGGATATACAGGGATCAGGATATGACATTGTATGTTAGATCAATATATGCAATCCAAAATCAATATTTTGAGCATCATTCGTGTTTTTATTAGCTGCCAAGTTGAGTAGGAAGCGACAATATGAAAGATGACCATGGATGCCCTTAATAGAAAAATATAATCATTTTATCTTTCATTGATTATATGATTCCGTTATTTGCTTTCTGTTACTTTCATTTATAAACACCTAAAAACGAAAGGTAAAGTCACCTTCTCTGCCTTTGTTTCCATCAACAAGCTAAAAATACTATAAAAAAAAAATGGCTCACACAATTGTAATATAATGGACAATAGTGCAGACTGATATCGTTTCAAGCCACCTTTACTTCATCAAAGCTATTTGTTCTGCAATGTTGGTGAGTTTGTTGATTCAACTTCCGCCAATTAACAAGCAAGCCTTATTCCAAAATCTGCACTCAAATTGAGTCGAGGAAGTCTTGGATATTCAATCAGTGCTAACTGCCAAGGACAAGGTGATACATCAAGGGGTGTCCTCATAAAATCAGAGGAATTCTTCCAAGATATTCAATCAGTAATAACGGACAATGTGCAGTGGTGAATTGAACTTGATTAAAATCACAAGTACAACGTGCAAACCCAAATTCTAGATTATGTGTAAGTACTTAGAATATAAGTTGGCTTTTGGAACTCAGTGACGCACGTTATTATAAAGATTAAAATAAATAACGTTCAATTGAAATATAATACTGGTTTTGAAGGAATGTGATATATAATGTTTTAATAAGGTTGTGTTATAATAAAAAGGATATTTTACATTATTATTTAATAAATAAATTAATTTGATTAATTTATTTATTAAATAATCTTTTTAAACAAAAATATCTTTTTGAATAAATCAACCTACCGGTTTTTATCATAAGCTTCATTCGGTTGTCATGGCTAAAATATAAGGGTTTTTGTTGAGGTAGTTGTGGATTGGTGAGCAAGCAAAGGAAGACACCCATGTCCACCACTTGTCACTTGCTCTCCACTACTTGGAGACATGTGTACGTGGGAGTTATGGGAGGTGTCTAGTGACTTTGCTTCCTCTATACATGCAATCTATCTCAGCAAGAACAACAATTCTTGAGCATCATTATTCCAGTGAGCAATTTATCTAATAGTGTGAGAGAGTTCCTAAATACTTCTTATATTTTCTTGTACGTTAGGTCTTGTATTTCTTACTGTAATTGGGACTTGGGGTATTTGTGAGAGTTGTAACTTGTGAGGGAAAGGAAGTTTCAGAGTCGAAACTTCTGAGAGAGTTGGGAACAAGTTCCGTTCTCGTGGAACTTAGTTCGGGTTGATTATTCACTTTGTAAAAGAGTTTGGTTTACATAGTGGAAATTTCGAAAAGCCCATATCATTTCTCTCTATTGTTTTACATAGTTTTTAATTCCGCAAAAAATTTACTACTTCACCTATACTACAATTCACCCCCCTCTTGTAGTAGCTATCTAGAACTTCAAACCAGATGATGAAAATTCTGCAGAGCATTAGACTCCTTGTTCAGGCATTATTTAATTAGAGTGGAGCAATTTAACAATTTTTCATAAAACAAATCCAAATCATCTAGAGTGATGTTCTCTAGAGTTGGATAGAATAATTGAACGAGTGTAAATTTAAACTATTTCCAAACCTATATATCCAAAAATACAGGGTCATAATCAACTATAAGAGATTAGTCGTTAAAAAAATGTACAAAAAGTGAATTGAATAAATACTAAATGTCTTTAATTAGTGAAAATTAGTGTTCTTCGGGACTCCTGAGCTGCAACTTAGAAGAATTACCTCCCCTAAGCTTGAACTAAACATCGTCCTTCAACGTGCTGAACAAGTGAGGGCAGTAAGGGATCCAATCGAGGGTAAGTTTTTAGTATGTACCACCATGTTAACATCCTATTTTTCGTTTTCAAAATGACTAGAGTTCATCCTAGCTATTACCCACTCTTCCTGAACTTCAGAGTCCTAGCTTGCTTGGCATGTAGATGTACGCCTTGGTTTGAGCTAATTAGTTGATCCGAGCCTGCTCAACAGTAGAGAATAGGGATGCCCTGAAGTCCAAACATATATAATGTCATAAACTGCCATTTTAAAATCTGATATAAGTTAGTTGATAAATCAGAAACCTTAACAATCAAACTCAGAATTAATTGTTAATACTATGAAATCATGCAACTAGGCAAGCAAAAGCTATAAAAATGGAGAAAGCATATAGAATTTTATAATAAGAGAAAGATAACAAGCTTCAATGGGTTATGTTTCTAATTTTCTCTTCTTACTCAACTTGCCAGCTAATTTATATCACGAACAATGCTTGGATTGACTATTGATTTTGGATTGTACATATATATATTGATATAACATATAATGCCATATCCTGCACCCTGTACGTCCAACATGATCCTAAGCAACAGCTACGCACGAGTGGAAATGAACCAAGAATAAAGGAGAGTGCCTGACTGTAGGAGACCATGCAATTTCATGCATTCATGCACACCCTCACTACAATATATTCTGAAGCTCTCCAGCAGACATATGGAATATTAACAGCTAATAAGCTATGCATTCATTAGTCAATTCAACGCGTATCTTCACATGGAGCTATTATGATAATCAACCTTCAATTAATCATAATCTCTTTTATTGGAAAATAATTGTATTTATTATTCCATTTTTATTAATATTTCTTCAAAGAGAAACTTTTTTTACCTTTGGATTTCACTTTAGAAACAGAGAATTACTTACAGAGTATAATACAGTAATTGACTTTTGTAATCATGTATCTTGTACTGTTAAGTATTGTTTTTACCATTTGTTTTTTCAGGCTTCAAGAGTCTAGTAACTTTGGTACGATTAAAAAAATGATTGAAAGCATAAATTTGAAGAACACAAATATAATTAGAGAAAAATGTATGTATAGTATATTCATTTGTATTTATTTTCAAGTATCAAAAATTTTTGTACAAGTATAAATTTCTATTCTAGTTGCTAATGACATTGAGAAGAGTTGATCTGGTCTTCACCAAATGCCTAAACAAGGATTCCAAAACTTCGTCAATTTCTTGAATTTCTGACTCTAAATTTACTAGTTGTGACATATCAACGTTCACTTTCTTCACAAGAATAGCATCAACAGCATCAAAAGAAGTTGCAACTTCCTTCTCAGATCTTTGGCGAACAAGTTTAGAGATAGACCAGCTACTTTTCTGTGATCCAGCGATGTAGGATAACAAGGAATTAAAGATTTCAGCTGTCAATTCTTGCACATCCTTGAGAATGCTCTCAATGGCGACGGGCTAAACTGCTTTAATGTCTTTCAAGCACTTCTTGATTGTCTTCTTAGAAGCTCTTCTGGTTTTTAGATATTCAGTGACTTCATTAGTAATGTCAAGTTCACCGCTGCATCTTCTTCGAAGAACTGATTGAATGTTTTGGATCTGTTCCTTTGACACTGCCAAGACATCTCGAGACGTTGAGCAAATATCAATAAGTCTTAGAGATCCATCTAATACTTGCTGAGATTGAGATACGGTTTTCTGATTTTTGGGTAGTTGAAGAAACTCTTCAACACACTTGTATAAATCATTAAGGCCACTAAGTTTGCTTGTAAGGGATGAGGTAGAAGCAGCTTGAGATGATCTCAATCTGTTCAATTGTTGATCCAACTGCTCAGAAACGGGGTGAGAGTTTGAGGGGAAACTGAAAGATCGAGTGTGGTAAGAAGCCATTATTGATTTTCTTTTTTAGTTTGTTTAGAGGCTTAGAGTTGTAAGATTGAAGTTTTGAGTTGTTGAATATCTCATTCTTTTGGCTCTATTTATACCAAAGTAACAGAAGACAAAAGAAATCAAAAAATTAAGTAATACTCAGAGAGAGAACATGGTATTCCTTGGGGTTGTTTCACATTGTCTCTTCTCAGCTGGCCAACCAACGAGGCAACAAGTCGATCGATGGTGGACTTTCTGCTAATATAAATATACTCCATATCAATTAAAGAAAAGATATGAAGGATCCATTGTTCTACAACAACCAATACAAAATCTGCAAGATTCGTCTTAATTTAATCCAACTCCTGTCAAATGTTTGTTAACTCCCAACATCTAATGCATTTTCTTTCTGTATCCCATTGTTTGAGTGAAATTCATGTGGTGATTAGCTTAGTTTTAGCATACAATATTCTGCTATAAAAATGAATATTATGATCCTTAAAATGCGCTAAACACGAGTGGAAAGGATTAGTACTTATCTCATACGAAGTATATAATAAGCTAGCCACGCACGCAGAGAGAGCTCAAAGAATAGCCAATTGCTTATTGTTGCCATGCTCGCGCTCATTCGCTGCAAATTCCATAACCATCCGTGTTCCCCGAATAATACTCTTCTTGCACCAAACATTGCCAAACACACAACGCTTTATACGCCAATGAACCCATCTTGTCCATATAAATCAATCACTACATTACACCCTGCAATAACCTTTATAAATGTCTAACTTATGCTCCTCAGTTTAGTGCTTGAACTTATCCCTTCATCCAAGCCCTCATTCGTGGGGATTCAGAAAAAGAACACGAAACACAGAAACAATAACGCTCGCCCTCAGGCTCAACCCCTTCCTGGCTACACATTCTATAATACAACGACATAGCTTCATTAGGAAAGTTACTAATGCCAAGTCGCGAAACAATGTATCAAAGCATCCAAGCAATAGCGCAAATATTTCATTTAGGCATTTCGTCAAACACCTTCCGGGCAATCACAAGAACGCAAAATTACAGATTACAATTGGAAAAAGCACATCCACCTTAAACTAAAATTATGTATCAGAATCTCAACCTTTGTCATTTCCAGTGCATATTTAGCCATGTGAGAGCTGCAATTTGGAGAGTTTGGATATTGGAATTGTTAAGTTTGAGAAGTGTGGAGAACAGTTCAAGAAGGCAAAGGGCTGACTTCAAATGGGCATATCTCAAAATCTAGAAGTGATATTGAGATGATTTAAGTTGCAGGTGATAGCCCGTCTCAAGAGCTTTCCAACGATTGGTCATAAGCTCGATTTGGTCAAGAATCGAGGGAGTTATGGCCGTTTCACGAAGAGTTGTCTGTGCAGTGCGGAAGTTCGACCGAACTTTTGAACAGTTTGGTCGAACCATTTAAAGAAATTGAGCTGCTGCTACTAACTGCCTTGTTCAACCGAACATTTGGCAACTTCGGTCGATCAGGGGTAGGTTCGGTTGAACCTCGTGCGTGCCCCTGTTTTCTACGGTTTTGCGACTTAAGCGATGTGGTTTATTTAAGACCGTAGGATTGTTTTATTTTGCCTAACACTATATATACTCTTGTTTTGTCATTTTAGAGAGTAAGAGGATGAAGGGAAAGATGTAGAAAGAGAGCCTCATGTAAAACCCAAACACTTAGTGTTTGAGAGGGTGAGTTTGGGGTGGGAGCTTTCATGGTGAGTGAAAGCTTGTAAACTACATTAATCTTCATCAAATTGTTACTCCATAGTGGATGGTGGGTTTTTCTCCTGGTTCTCGGGTTTCCCACAATAAATTCTACTTGTCTCTTTTATTACTTGTTTTTCTGTCTTCATTGTTGTTAATTATTGTTAATCACAAACTAGCTAGCACATTCGGTTAATCCTTTCAGTATTTTCACCGTCTAGAAGAAGAGTGTTAACATCATAAACTTTTTGTTTGTCCTCACAAATACTGTAATACAAAGCGATAATATAACCAGCGCAATAATATTAGTCGTACTTTATAATTTTGTATACCTTACAATTAAAAATTAGGGTTGAATAATATTTTTGAATAGAAACAAGGGTTTTAAGAGTTAATTTGTTTATTTGGTTTATTTGGAAAAAAAAAATTATAGAGTGATTTCTCAGGGATAAAAAAAGTGAAGAGGTTATTTCCAAAATATAATTTGGGTAGCTGTGAAAAGTTATTGTATTTGATTAACAATAACATATACCTTCTATTCTTTATTATACCTAGCTTCATTTGTTCTAAATAGTTGTACTTTCCCATAAAAGAATCAAATAATTAACTTAGTCAAAATATTTGCTCATTACTTAGGTTTGGAGTTTTTGGCCCATACTAATCAAATATTTAACTTAGTCAAAAGCTTATTGAAAAGAAAATAAAGTCAATGTTTTTATACAATGTTTGTCTCCACTTCGCCAAAATGTTAAAGCAAAAACTTGGCTTTAACCATTCCATTTCGACAATAACATAAATTTTTGCATTCCTTTTGCTCACATCTCTGTTCAAGTAAAGGACGAATAAGCGCCCTGCAGATGAGTACAAAATTGTTATAGGCTAATTATTTTGGTGTTTAAAGTGTCACACGAGTATGTGATGAGAATCAATCCCAAGATCACCTAAAATCGGAGGGGGTTCTAAACACTTGAGCTATCCCTCACTCTTTGTTTTAGGCTAATTAAATCCTCTATATATTTTTTTTTTCCGTTTTTGTGTCACTCATGAAAAATTACTTCCACCATTCTCTTATATGTTGTCGCATTTAGGGTCAAATAAGAAAGATGAAAATGATTTTATGTGCATATATTTATACACATATATGTTCATATCGCATTTAACAACATAAACATGACCATAATTGAGTTCAGATGCATGCCTTGCTATGGCGCGGCGAACGAAATTCAGATGCTTAACTCATTGTGAACAAACATTATGAAGCAAATTAAATGGTGTGCAAATGATACCGAGAAGTTTTGCTAAGGTTATGATGACTTGGTTACTTTTGCTTAGTATAAGGCCATATTACAAATTGATGACATGTTATTTCTCATACTTGAAACACTTTCATTTTTATGCTTGTGAATGTTTAATTTTAATTATTAATTAATATTTTTAATTTACATTAAGTAAGGTCCCGTTCACTTCACCTTTATTTTGCCGAACATAAATTATTTTTATTAAACTAAAATTATTTTTGCTAAACTTAAATTGTTTTTGAAATTATTTTTACTAAACTGAAATTAATTTTACTAAACTGAAATTATTTTTGCTGAACTGAAATTATTTTTACTGAACTGAACTTATTTTTGCTAAAGTCAACTTATTTTTATAAAATATTATTTTTAAGGTAAAGTGAACAGGACCTAATACTTATAAAAGTTGGTAGATATTTTAATTTGTAGTTCTACAATAATAATGAGACAACTCTAAATAGATCATACGTGGCTATTTTATTGATATATATATATATAGAGGAGGGATCCGGTAAGAACCCCTCCTTATATAAGAACCCAATCTTATATAAGAACCCCTCTTTATGTTCTAAACTTTATTCTACTTATGTTCTAAAGTTTTCCTATGTTCTAATTTTTTTTTGCTTATGTTCTAAATTATTTCATATATTCTAAATTATTTTTTCAGCTTATGTTCTAATTTTTTTTTCCTATATTATATTGTTTTTTCAGCTTATGTTCTAATTTTTTTTTCCTATGTTCTAAATTAGTTTTTCAGCTTATGTTTTAAATTTTTTCCTATGTTCTAAAATATTTTTCAGTTTATGTTCTAGATTTTTTCCTATGTTCTAAATGTTCATTTGTTTATGTTCTAAATTTTCCTATGTTCTAAATTTTTTTTCCTATATTCAGTATTAATTTTTCAGCTTATGTTCTAAATTTTTTCCTATGTTCTAAATTATTTTTCCTATGTTCTAAATGTTTGCATGCTTATGTTATAATGATTTCCTATGTTCTAAATTTTTTTCCTACATTCTAAAATTTTTCTTATGTTCTAAATTTTTTTCTATGTTCTAAATTATTTTTTCACCTTATGTTTTAATTTTTTTCCTATGTTCGATTTTTTTTTTTCAGTTTATGTTCTAATTTTTTTCTTATGTTCTAAATTATTTTTCATATGTTCTAAATGTTTGTTTGTTTATGTTCTAAATTTTTTCCTATGCCCTAAATTATTTTTCAGCTTATGTTCTAAACTTTATCCTATATTCTAAATTACTTTTCCTATGTTCTAAATGTTTGTTTGCTTATGTTCTAAATTTTTCCTATGTTCTTAATTTTTTTTCCTATATTCTTAAATTTTTCTTATGTTCTAAATTTTTTTCCAACGTTCTAAATTTTTTCCTATGTTCTATATTATTTATTATGTTATAAAATTTTTCTACCTATATTCTAAATTTAAGAAAACCCCAATTCAATTGAAGCATGAACCCTAATTTCATAAAACCCTCTATTTACCCCAATTATAGTGGAATTTGGTGAAGAAAATGCAAATTGAAGTTGGGAGAGCTATTTTGAAGAGAAACGGGGAATAAACCGATTACTAGTGTTCATAAACAACGATGTAGAGGAAGAAGAAGAGAAAGGACGATTTTGAGGGTAGGTAGCTGGGCTAGTTTCGGGGTGGGTGACGAGTTGATTTTAGATCGATTTTAGGTGGATTTCGGGGTGTATACTTTAGATTTTAGGTAGATGAGGGGTGGGGGCAAGTTTTTTTAGGATTTCGTTATGTTCCTTGCGACTGTCTGTCGGAATGTTTGATGGTATGCGGTTGAAGGCGGTGGTCGATGAGGGTTTGTTGAGGGCGGTGAGATGTGTGTGGAGGGCAGTGAAGTTGAAGGTGGTGGCCGGTGGGTTGTGTTGAGGGTGGTGGGGTAGATTGCAGTGGCTAGTGGTATATGTTAAGGGCGGTGAGGTTGATTATGGTCGTGGTTGTCGAGGAAATTGGTGGGTGAT